AGACGTGTGCTCTTCCGATCTAACACAAGACTTTATTATGTAATTTTTTTTTTAGTTTATCAATATGCATTAACATTATACATATATTTCGTGCGTAAGATTAAAGAAATTTTATAATTCAAAATAAAAGATATTTTTGTATCATGTAATAAAATATTTACAGAAAATTTAAGTAACTATTAGACACAAAAGTTATTAAGTTTATAAACATGATAACAAAAGACTTTATTATAGCTATTAGAAACGAAAGTTATATCTAAATTGCATTTCTTGGACTATATAAGCGCTTAGCGTTGCTAGCAAATCATAAACGTACAGACTAATACAGCTTGAGTTATAATAAGCATTGAGATGCGTCTATCATTTCTATCATTGGCTTTTGCCATAATCTTTTTTGTGACAATTATGCACGCACCTGAAGCGGAAGCAGAGGCCATCTCCGAACCTGATGCAGTATTTGTGCCCGATCAAATTAGGTTGAGAAAAAAATAGATTCTTGAATTTTCCAAACCTTGAATTTGAATGGTATGTATATATCAATGGTGTTAAGCATAGTCATTCTATTAAAGCATATTCTATAGCAGGATTTCTTTTATATAAACAGAATAATTTCTTATTTTTAGTTTAAGGAATTTACGAAACGCGTACTCGACATGGTAAGTCGCAAACTGTATATCTATACGAATTAACAATTGTCATCACATTAATGTAAACGTCTATCTTTTATTTAGGCAAATGAAATAACTGCATTTTTCGTGGAATGAAATTTCGATGAAATTGGGAAAAATCTTAAAATCTGCAATTAAGTTGTCACATTACAAAAAATGCATAAATGTTATATATTTTTTTCAAACAAAAATGTGAATTATATTTGTATGTATCTATTGTATTTGTTTATAATTCGCAATAACAAATAAACAACAAGCATGTATTAACAGTATTAGATTTTATTTTTATTTTAGTTTATCCTTTTATATTTAAAATTTTACCCATGTTACAATACATTTTTAATTAATTTTATTTATAAAAATAATATATATAATATATAATAATAATAATATATTTATTTAAAAAAATGCTTTTTTAAATGATATTTGATTGATGATAAATGATTTATTAATTATATTAAATATTTTGGCAATGATATAGAAGTACATATTTTAAATATACACTTTTGAAACTTTGACAAACACATTATTTTTATGTTAGATATATATATATACTTTCTTAAACTAAAAATATTATTTTAACAAATATAAAAGTTGTCCAAAAAATAAATATGAGATCATCCAGGCTTAAACATGACGAATAAAATCA